TCAAAATTTAAAACGTTTAATCTGAAAATTGAGTTTTACAAAATGTAGTGACACGAGATATACATAGCGACATGAGGCTATGATAAATTATTGATTTAATACCCGTTATTGAATTAAGGATTTAATTAATATCTATGACTAGGCAACAAAAATTATTATGTCTACGGCCATTCTAAATCCAATTCTAACATTAGTTAATATTAAGCGTAATCAATTCCATTATTTATTATCGCATTTGTGTTTTAGCGATAAACAAATAATCAATTAATTATAATAACACAATTAAACTGTTCCCTAATTGAATCCTGCTCCACGAGTGAATTTTCGACGGGAGTCAGTTTCTCATTCGCGAACGAGATCAGTGGGTCGACGGCGAGTCGTGAATAAACAACGTTCAAGCACGGAGGCGAAGGAAAAGGAAACTCTCCGTGGCTCTCCGCACGAGCTGCCTGGCGAAGGTGAAACTTTTTCTCTTTGCACGACGGGTCAATGGGTCCCGGCACGGCTTGTCTCGTATGGGGATAACGGTTTTCCCCATGCTCTTCTCTTTCGGTTTATCGCAAAGCGATCAATCCTTGATATTCACGAAAAGAAACTGACGATTATTACCCGGTAATATTCTCTCCAGCAATGACAATTAGAAAAGCTTATTTCGCATATGTCAAAACTTATACATTTTACCAAAAAATATGCTTAATGCAAATCCAATATTTTTTCCAAAGACAGTATATGGAGACTCAATTAAAATAAAAAAGTAATATCTCTTTTTTTTTAATTATATTGTAGTAAATTATGTTTCACGCGATAGTTATGTAAATCCTTACAACTGTCCCAAAGTATGCGGATAAAATTAATCGAAAACGACTATATTTTTCTATTCAATAAAAATTATCACGTAAAAATTGTTCTGATGTATAAAATGCTTGTAGCAATATCATATTATGAAAATACATTTTTATACGAATCGTGCTTGACCATTACATGTGTAAGCGACACGCGGAGGGATAATCTCCGTTGTTGTCCGATTTCACAAGCAGTTCCTGACATTTTCGTGGCGATGTAGCGCCGGCCTTTTGTAGAGTTGTCAGTCAGTCAACCTCACGACGAGTAAGATTGCAACAGCTGATCGGTCAGCCGCACTGTCATAAGGCGATTTAACGGCGATTTGTTAGCGACGGTCTTTTATTCGGCGTCAGTCGCGTTGCGCAATTGTGATTAACGGCGGCATAATACGTCGATTAACCCTACGCGCGATTGTCTGCCTCAATTTTTTTTCACTCCGAACTTGCGAAATTATCGGATGTCCTTATCACGCTTTTGAGTCCATCGTGAAATCGTCCATAATTGGGTGAAGTCGTCGTTACAAGTCGAACGTGAAGTTTCTATTTAATTAATTATATTATTTTTATTTTAATAATTATGTATTACAGTTATTATTTATTCAATCACTAATTATGTGTGTATTGATATATCTGATCATTGCATGTAATATTTCGAGGTTAATATTCTACATTTAACGTGTAAAACAAAAAGCTATCTTATAAGTGGCAGATTGCTATCAAAGATCATACGCGCACTATTACATCGCGTGTTAACAAGAGATCAAGGAATAAGTATAGCTCGCAAGCCTATCTTTACATTTTTTTCTCTTTATACATAGCAATATATTACAATACTTTACAGACCACACGTATCGGTGATTTGACGCACAAGGCAGATTTTCACTTCGCGCTAGGCTCGACAGGAAAATTTGAAAATTGTATAAAATTACCGCATCCAACAGCCGCGACTGTAATTACAATACGCGCGAGAGTAATGTGGTAAAGCATGCGGACACTTAATCGCGTATCTTCACCGTAATAGCACCGTCGGACACCGGTTTAATAGGCCGATGGGTATTATATAATATCCACGGCCGATACTTGTTCACATGTATTACTCAACAAGCGTGTCATTACCGCTTGCTTTAAGAGTATAAGACACGCACGCACACATTACGTGTTCGATTGTATATACTATAACGGCCGCACGGTATTCCCGTAAGTTTAGAAAAATTAAATCACAATGCGCTTCGTTAATCCTTTATATTAATTGGAGAGATCCGACGAAAAGATTTGACACATCGAGATCCACATCCGATATAGATGGACATATGAGCCGGAGACCGAATGAAATAGTGGTGCAAGTCCTACGTGATGATGCGAATGCAGATTAAAACTATTGCTCATACTTATATGTTGAATCTTTCTGCAGTTTTTTATGCGTACTTTTGACACGGCATAAAATTAATTCTACAGCTCACTTCTCATAGAATCTTTAGAAATATCATCGTAAATTTCATATGCACCACAACATTGCGCGTGTACTTAAGCGTTTTCGCATTCTTTTTTCGCCGCGCGGCGCAAACTAAGGGTTTGTATCGGTATTGTGTTTCTGCACATTCTTCGACGCGCGTGCACCTGCATTGACACGCTTATTACATACTTTTTCTCGGCGCGAGCGCGCGAGGATCACGCTATACACCTGATTACTATTGACTTAGTCGCGGCAAACTCTATCTTGCCATCCTGCCTGCGATCGGGCATTCCAGGGGAGCGAGCATGCAATCATTAGGTTGTTAGGTGATTGTGGTCGTATCCGAACATCATTACGTTGCACCATTGCGGCAAAGCCGATTCACTCCCACGGCCTACTCGTGCCTCTCACGTTATTAAATACCGTGGAAATGCGACCATTTGGAAATTCCGTATCTCTCCCTGTCCCCGCGCTTTGCACTTTGACTCGCGCGAACGCGTTGCTCTACATATTCCTGCATATTCTACTTGTTTCGTTCTTCTCGGTTGCAAGAGACAATCTTTTAGCGCGTTGGCAATCCAAACAGCCGTTTTCTCTCGATAATCTTTGCTGGCACTGACGTCGTCTCGCGCTAATGAAGTAAACTTTCTTTCTTTTTATACGCGTTACAAGAGTGGTTATATAATACAGGAAGATACGACAAATTACTGATCGTAGCTATAGTCAATCAAGGTCGTTAGCGTGACTTTTTAGCATCGTCTTTTTTCTACTTATATCGATAGCCAATATGATCTACAAGAGGAATAGAGAATCATGACTGATGTTGATGTTAATCAGTTTTTTGAAACCAGTATTAGCTGCGATGAGCTAACATTTTCTGGCTATAGACCGATGGTATTAATAACTCGCGAGAGATAGGCGAGAATATTACCATTTGAATAACCCTCGATGTCCTTGCTATGACGTCATTAACGAAGATCTTACTGAATTAATCTGACGCGTATAACAATGTTGAGACATCCTTGCGGAAATTGTCTGACCGAAGGCAATGCTAATTCAGTGATGCTTAGTATTGCGTTACACAAACGGTCATTTTGTGAACTATAGGCCGCAAGACTGGATCGGAATACCATTAGTCGAGGAGATTGCTACTTAAACGAGTAGAAAGCAAACGATTGTCGCAATCATTCGGTAGCAGAAACGTAGTAGATATTTATTGCATTGAGAAGACATTAAAGTGATACAATATTATTCAAGGATAGATATTAGAGATACATTGTCCATATCTTTTTCTTTTTCCTTTTACAAAACAATGCGACTTAATAATTTTATACTCATTATTTTGTTATGATATAAGACTTTATCTTTTTTATTATTAGAATACAAATATATTACACGTTATAAGCTAACGAAATATATTCGTTTTGACAAAGTTCTGGAAATTAAGTCGATTTTTGCAATAAGTGAATCGTTGAGGCACGAACTGGCTATTTGATCAAGTGGCGTCGAGAAAGTGTACATCGGACAAGATAAAGAATCGCCAGGAAAGTTCGCGAGATGCAGTATTATCGGGAACCTGTTGGTGGTAACAAGTGGACGCCGCAAGCCGGTACCACCTACTCGCGGCGATCAAAAGTGAATACCCGGAGCGCGTGCTTACACAAGAGTCGAGAGAGGCTCGTCTGCTTTTAAAAGTAAACTCGTAGCTCGTGAAATTGCGCGAGGGGCCTTCCCTTCCCCTGCCGCCTTCTTAGCGTGTATCAGCATTGTAACCTCGATTCCTTTGAGAGACGGCACGACGGTGCCGCGCGCCCGAGACGCACGATTGCCCCTTCTGCGAGCTGAACAACGATGAAAGTCCGCTGCGTTTCTTGTTTTACGGGCGTTTTACGCGCGGGTGATCTAATCGAGGCAGGCTCGGGCCGGTTTCGTGAGCGATGCACATCACCGTGTCACAACGCCGAGTTTTTCCATCCACCGTGAAAACTCGGTTAGGCAGTGCTTGTACGCGTAATTAGACCGTTTAACGATTCGCTCCTGTATCTATTATTCTACTATTGTAAGATGTCATAAAACGGCCGTCCCTCCTTATTACGAAACGAGCGACGAGCTAAACTTATTAAATCTTGTCAAATAAATTGCGCAAGTGACAATCTACCAACAGTCTAGACACAAAAGTACTCTATAGATCTTGCGCGTGTATAATAAATTACGTTATGTTATCGCAGATCGTAATAATAATTATCTGGATGGATTATCGATCTATTTGATTGATGTTTCCAGCTTAACTTGCACAATATAATAGGCGATAGGTAAATTTACTAATCCTGTGATGTCTCGAATTCACACACTGAGAAAAAAATGTTGTAAATTTGACAAAACTCGTTTAGTTGTAGTGATTTGTTTAATGCAAATATTAATATATTTAAATCAAATGTACGTGAGTAATATCAAGAAATTCTGAATCTATTTAAATATAATATTTTTTGAATTAACAAATGTTAGCTTGACAGCCCGTGACCGCTGCATTTAGTTGAATCAAATAATATTTCTTTGAATCTACGATTTTTTTTTCTCAGTGCAGACAATGCAAAATCGAGTTAAATATAAAAATTGGGCTAAATTTTTCCCCTCGCAATGCACTATGCACTACTGCCCGCATGGGGTGAGTGATGATTGAAGCGTTAATACCGGAAGGTACTTACGATTTGCGCACTTTTGCGGTATCGGAAGAGACAAGAATCTTCCAGGTCGGTTACTGTGCGGTCGAGCTTCATTGATCGCCGGCTCGGCGTTGGCGAACGCCGCGAGGAGCACTACGGCCAGCGGCACCAGCATCATCTATCACAGAATAATAGAAAGAATATTATTACAGATAATAAAGCAAGATAAATCACTTAATTTTGCAATTTGCGATAATTTTCGTACATTTTTTTTACAATAAAAATAATAAATGTTTGTTGTATAACTTTAATTAATGCATATCTCGAATAATGTAATTGATAATATATACCTTTTTCAGATTATATAAAATATTTTTCTTAGGAGTAAAAATTATGTGTCATGATTGAAAGATAATACATAGAAACGAGTAAACAGTGAGTATACCTTATATGAGTAACATAAAAGATCTGTAGGCAAATCGTCAGGCGATTTTTATATGTTAATGGGGATCTCCAGGATCAAGTTATTAAAATATCGATTCAGATATCGCAATTTCATCGACCACTCTGCGACAGTCGGTGAGAGTTTCGTACGTAATGGGGTTGACATACAGGTACGCGATTTCATTTCACCGACACATACAGTTCCTTTCCATCAGGCAGAAGTTTCTCTTAGGGAGTGTCTCGTCTAACGAAGTCGATTTTTTTATGCATGGACGTCAGTACGTTAATTATTCATTCGTTATGTGATCCGTCAAATCATATCGACATCGATTGAAAATTTCTCCGGCAAGTTGAAAAACAATATATCAAGAAGTATCGAATATCATTAAATTTATATTGGAATAATTTTAGAAGCAAAATAATTTTGTAGAAGATAGTAGAAAATTTTTTAATGGAAATTTTCTCTACAATTTGTATAATAATTTATCTTGTATACGTAAATTTTTACAAATTGAATAGTAATTAATATTAATTATGCTATATAATGTACTCTTTCCTTCTTTCTCTAAATGATATTGCTTTCACCGAAATTTTATAAGTCTTTTTACATCACTTGCATATAATCAATTTATTACATTCTAATCCGCTAGGGTACATTTGTGATGACAAAACAATAGCAATTTCTATTTATGAGAATCTCTATTGTATGTACTAATTACAAAAAAGTATAAAAAATATAACATATAAATAAATCCGAAAAAAAAATAAATCCGAAAGCTGTCCAGTGAGTCTTAATTACGAGCATGATTTAAAAGTTTTAGGAGTTAAATTTCGTTTAGTTCAATTTTCGATGCTGCAGATAGAGGAAAAAGTAAACTTTACCTTAATTGTATATTTATATGTGCATATATCGCGTTTTTGTTATCATAAATGATCATAAAGATTTTTATCTCATTTTGCAGCATCGAAATTTGAAGTCACTGAAATTATATCGTAGATTTCAATTCGTCCGGATTTCAGCACTCACCTTGTATCACTTGTCTCTTGGAAAAATATGGATAAGACTTGGAAGACGGCGGTTAAAGAAACGTGGTCACTGATAGGATATGAAGAGACAGGCACCTTCACCGTCGATTATATAGAAATGGTCCCCACCAGGCCGCAGACTCATCCCACCCTTCGCTACAAGGACCCAGCGAGATGTTCCGTTCGAGACCTTAGTCATAATTAGTTCGGATAATTAAGAGTTAGAGATCCCGTGTATTGATTCTTGAGAAGTAGGCGGTAGTGTGCCCTCGCAAGCGACGAGAGATAGATTTCACATTTTTTTTCTCTTCCTTTTATTGTGAGCCAAATCCGGTCCGCTTACAGGAATTAAAAGGATGGATTTAATGGAAGAGGATGACAGGCGATAATTGATTGACACAGTAACGAGAATAACTTACGCCATCATTCTGTATAAGACTCGAAGATATTATCTCCGGGATGCTTCGTTAATTTTGATTAAGTTATGATTACATTTTCGCGATGTGCATAATAGGTACAGTTTTTAGAATAATGATCATTATGAGATATAAAAAAAATAATTTGATGTTATTAAATAATTTGATATAAGGCGTACATTTGATTTTGTTTATTGAAAATTTATTGCTGTGTTTATAAAATTCAAGTTTTTATACATAGAAAAAACAAAATCTATATTATTATGTGGAAAACCTGCGTGTACTTAATTATAAAAAAATTATTATAAGATATACGCGTGTAAAAAGAAAAATATAGACTTTCCTATAACTGTGTAAATTTTGTAAATGCAATTCTATCGAGAGAGAAAGATAAGATTGTTCGACGGTGCATCGATCCGATCGAACTTAAAGCGGTCGAGCGATCGATCAATGTTCACCTATATTTTTTTCTACGCGTTTAATGATAGGATAGGTTGGAGTTAACAGCTAATAACAGTTGGAGTAAACTTTTTGTTCCCACAATCGTACCGGCACGATGTGTTGGTTACACACGATCAGCAATTTATAACTAATTTTTTTCACATGTCACGAAGCTAAACGACTAATGTTTTAATATGAGTTTGAGTTTATTGATAAATAAACTTTGAATATAAAATTTCTGTCAAAATTAATCTGAAATTAAAGAAGAAGAGTATATTTTATTAAATGTTTTTATCTTTGAAGCATAATTTCACGATGTCTTTCTAAAATTAACAAATCTAAATCTCCTTAATTAGGCCAGGTTGGAAATTTTCAAAATCTGTCACATTCTTGAAATATCCTTTAGCTATTCTGACACGTTTCGCGCAATTGAACTGGATTCTTGCCGGTTTATCTCAAATCTATTATATCTATTTATTAGAAGTCTTGTGTTAATTAATGCACGGCCTAGAAAGCGTATTTTGTTCGGACACTCGTGGAAGTGTTTATCGTCATCATGAATTCAGGCACACATTGCGCGTTGATAGTCGCAATAACGGTAGATAAAAAAGACTTTCTATTTCTTTGAGTCTCTCTTAATTCAAATATGACGAATAGTCGGCCGCACGTATCGCTCGTTTCATATGTTAATATAGAGTCTTTTGAGCACGGCGAGACGGAATTCTCTTTCTTTGATGGAACAATGACCGTATGATCATTAAATTCGTTTATTGTTAATGGCATTTACATTACATTTACAATAAAGACGTAACGCACGTCGATAATTAAATACGAATTTATATTGTAAAAATTAACACATGGTATTCTTCATATGATCTTATATACTTTATTTGCCTACATATTATATATATGTAAGAAATATTGCAATATAATTTAATTGATACATAATTTTACTTTTTGTAATAACAAATTTTATTTTACATAATAATTCAAGAACTACATAGCTCTATTGAATTCTATCTCAGAAACATTGACTGTCGTAATTTGCAACAAAATTAAGAGTATTCTAAATTCAATAATTTAAAAAAAGGTTAAATATCTTACCTTAATTCTTACGCAAATTAAATTTTTATTGATATATAAGTCGAGTTAAAATAAAATATATGAAACACAATTTTGGTGTCTATTAATATCTTGGAGTTAACTAATCTAAATTATAAAAGTGTTAGTGCGGATAGTATTCATTCAATATTTTTTACAAGCGTAGTCCAAGCATAAATAACACTTTCTAGAGCACTCTATTAAACGACGATATCTACATTGTGTATTGTACGGTAGTCACCAACCGCGCTAAACACCTTATTAAATTATTATCGAGACATTGTTTTGCGCGCGAGCTCAAAACCTGTTACTTGCTCGTATCGAGTAATTGAAACAGACAATGGAGCAATTAACATTCCCGGCAATTAAAGCAACACCCGCTTCTTTTCGCACGTCGTATGATATTATCTATACGCGTTTTATCGCGTTCACAGTCGTTTTGACGAAAAGATTGCAGTACTAGATTTTGTAATTGGTGGACGTCTTTTAGTGGCACCGAATTTCAGAAAACGTCACTCGCGAGCGGAGACGATTCCCTGGAGGCGATGACCTTGAAGATGCGCTTCGTCAACTTTCACCAAGTGGTAACATAGACGCCGTAGACGGGTAACAGGCTAGTCAATGTCATCCGTGCTGCAACTCGTGGTTAAGGCCCGAGTTTCATTCTCAGAGTTTCCACGGTCCACGCTGGAAAAGTGGAGGAGGTTCCGGTTGTGTCAGACTAACGAAATGCAAGTGTCTCTGCGGAGGAAATTGACATGGGCATGCACAAAATGCAGAGGCGATATAAATCTTAGTTAATCCCCATATAAAGTAAAGAAATGCTCTAATTTATTTATAACGTTTATTAATTTTCTATTGAATTACAATTATCATTTTTTATACAAATCCATAAACGTCCACTTATATCCAATAAAAAATATTGCAACAATGATATACATAGTTTTGTGCAGATCGTAACAAAAGCGCCATAGCTGCATTATGGTGTGTTTAATACCATATATGAGGCCATGAAATGGCCACTTATAAAGTCCACAGTATTTCCCACTTCTCGAGGCTAAACTGTCCGGAGAAGATATTAATTATTATAAAATATTGTCATAATTAATTCTTTAATAACTTTAATTCATGATCCTCTTCACGGTTCTTCCCTGATATAATTATGCTATGACTAAACTTAATGTCAATGCGTAGCTTGATAATCATCATAATAATCGTAGCTCCTCGATATCTTGTTATATATCATTGAACGTTAAAATCACAGATATTTTTATATCATGTGGAATTCGAGGATGAGGACTGTACATATAGTGAATAAATAAAGGCAATATTTCTTAGTATTCATTCGAATATTGCGGCAAATATGAGCATCCAAAAGATATCAAAGATTGAATTATAGAACATTATGTTCTCTCCCTCTTTCTTTTTTTCTATGTATCGTCTTTACGATATATTTGGAATAGCATTATATAAAAATTGTATTATATTGTTTCATTATATAACAATTTTATAATGTCATTTCCTACCAGAACACTGGAAAACTGTAAAACAATTATATTTGGATAACTTCATGCTTTCAATTCTTTTTACTTGCACAGTCGAACAACCCTTTGGTTGCGATTCGTGCCATAATAAATCAGGATTCGTAAGAGTGATTTGCGTATATACGCATATCCTATACATACACGCACATACGTACGCACTAATATATACATATATATACAACAATCACGCATCGTCTTCGCGCTGATGTAACACTTTTGCCTGCAGCTCCGGTAACTTCTCGAACACCTGTTAAGCGCGCTCGTAATAGCCGCGACGTCGGTCGACGATGTATACCTTACGGAATACTTGAGATTTCTCTCTGTTATAAAATCACGTCGCCCGAATTCGGATGCAGTTGTTTCATTTAACTTAAAAAGTATCAGTTCCAGAGTAAAAAAAATGCAACGATAAATAATAATAAAGAAGAACAGATTCTTTTTTTCTTATGTAACTCTGCTGTTCGATTTATTTCTTTTAATATTAGTTTGTTTATTTAGCATATTGGGTTAAATAGAAGCAACTACATGGTTTAACAAAGCCATTACAATAGAAAACATTTTTGGACAATAATTTATTTAAAGCATCTCAAAAAAAGTTGAAATATTTAAAAAAAATAAAGATTAATATCTTAATATAAAAAACTAAGAATGTGAAGAAACAATATAGTAATTATGGAATAAATAACATTTTCTAATTGTATAATCTTTTAATAATTAATAAAATAATACTATAATAGGACGTAATAATTATCGAAAAAAACCTAAAAATATATAAAGATAAAATTCGTGATAATTAAAACGAATGTAACATTAAATTAAATAATAATAATATTAAAAATATATTTTATGTAAAGAATGTATTATACAAACATTAATATATAGCTACACTCTTTTGCAGCAATCACGTTCAATGGTGAATCGATGGTTCATCGACATCTCCAATGGATTACAAATTATTGAGGATCATCCTTGAAGTAGAATATAGGAATGAAAGATATACTTTCTCGGACGCTAGGAAATTATGTAAGGCGTGATACAGAGTCAAAATAACAAACGATGGAATGTGTCCATTAGCGATGGTGGGAGCAACGGCGACCTTGGTGCCATCGATGGTTTCGAAGTTTGATTCAAGGATTCGATTTTGATGTTCCTAAAATTAATGTGTCGAACTAAACTATTTAATTGCAAATAAGACGAAATATTCTGAATACGAGGCTGAAGTTTCGAAAAATGAAGCAAACCAAATATGTTTTTGTCGCGTGGAAAGATTATTTAATTTGTCATGTGTGCAAGAAATAAGCAACGAAAAAATTATTTAACAATAAAAATTGATTTTTAAATTAATACTATCTATATATAAAAAATGAGACTAGCAAGAACATTAAATATTTCAATTTGACTGAGTTTATTATTTTCTTGCGACGTCTCGAGGGCCATATTTTGTATCTTCGCATAAGAAAAAAGTATTATTTATTTTCGTGCCATTCGAAAAATGACAAACAAATGCGAAGATTCGAATTACGAGCCGACACGCATCTCCGACTGTTTATTTCAAGCAAGAAACGCGAGTTGGACTGAAAAGGCCGCGCGGCTTCGCACAC